AAAATTTAAATATTTTTTAAAAATATTTTTAAACCTCAGAGATTTAACAATTTAGATCAAATGGACAAATTCCTAGAAAGACACCAAAGCTTTGTCAAGAATAGATAATGCAGCCAGGCGTGGTGGCGCACGCCTGTAATCCCAGCATTTGGGAGGCTGAGATGGGAGGATCATCTCCAGTTCGAAACCAGCCTGAGCTACGAAGTGAACTCAAGGCCATCTTGAACTGCATAACAAGACCCTGCCTCAAAAGACAAAAAAAAAAAAAAAATGCAGCTGGATATGGTGATACACCCCATAATCCCAGCACTCTGGGAGACTGAGACAGGAGGACTAAAAGTCTGAGTCCAGCCAGTGCAGCTTAGCAATGTATAGAGACAGTATCTCAAAATTTAAAAAACTATTGGGGTGGTGGCTCAGTGTGAAGGTGCTGGATTCAATCCCCTATACTCCCAAATAATAATATAATAATAATAACAACCATAGTAGCCTTACATCTACTAAAGAAATTGGATTTGTAGTTTAAAATCTGCCCATAAAGAAAATTCCAGACATAAGACTGTCGGGAGCTGCTGGACCTGGAAATTGGCCATATGTGTGGGGGCAGGACAGAGCCAGAGTGCCTCAGCGGTCAAGCTACCTCAGTCTTGGAAAAACATCCTGCCTGGACAATTTCAATCATTAGTCACTAGGTAACACTGCCTCTCATGATACTAACTTTCCAAGGGTATAAATAAATGCCCCTACTATTATAGTTCAGTCCTCTTGACCATCAGGTGAGAGGCCGCTCCACTTGACCGCAGCTCTTGCCTCTTATCTTTATTTTCTAAACCCCCTGGCCGTTTTCTCCCAGGGTATGCTGACAGACCACTGAGTCCTACAATAGATGGCTTTATTTTGAACTCTTAACAAGTATTTAAGGAAAAAAACAATACCAATTTTGGGTAAACTTCCAAAAAAGTGATGCAGAATACATCTCAACTCATTCTTAAGGCCAGCATTAGTCTTATACCACAACCAAAGTTACTGTAAGAAAACTATAGATGAATATCTCTAAGCATAAACACAAATATTCTAAGCAGTTTAGCAAAACCAGGAAAAATATTTTTAAATGATGTAATTCACCCACATTAAACTAAAAAAGAAAAATCATGTGATCACCACAAAAAATGAAGGAAAAGCATTTAACAAAAATCAAGCATTCTTGACAAGAACTCCCAGAAAACTAGGAATAGAAAGGAAGCTATCCAATCTAATGAAGAACACCTCAGAAAAACCTTCTGCTAAACTCATATTCAGTGGTAGAAGAATGAGTCCTTTTCCCATAGGATCAGAAAAAAAAAAAGATGTCCACTTTTACTACTTCTATGGAACATGTGCCAGAGGTTCAAGGGAAATTAATTAAAGCCATACAAATTGGGAAAAAAAGAAATAAAGCTGTCTTTAACAGTAAATGTCATAATGTGTGTGGAAAATCTGACAAAATCTTTTTTACAAAAAGCTGGGCTGGGAAGCACATGCCTAGTATACATGAGGCCCTGCGTTCAATTCTCAACACCACTTGTATGCATGTACACACGGACACACAAGTATGAGTCTAAAAAAAGCCACCAGAACTAAGTAAATTTAACAAGGTTGCAGGATACACGGTACGTATACAAAAATCAACTTTTAAATATTGCATTTCTATAGACTAGCCGCCTCTCTCAAAAAAAGCCCTGATTTTTTTTTTTTTTTTTTTTGAGATAGGGTTTCACTATGCAGTTCAGGTTGGCCTTAGACTCACTTTGTAGCCCAGGCTGGCCTCGAACTTGCAACAATCCTCCTGCCTCAGTCTCCCAAGTGCTAGGATTATAGGCAAATAATTCAATTTTTTAAAAAGTCATTTCCATGGCATCACAAAATATGAAATATTTAGGGATAAATGTGGCAAAAGATGTGAAAAGACATGTCACAAAAACTGTGGCAGAAGGATCAAAAGTTCAAGCCAGCCTGGGCAACTTAGCAACTGAGACCAAAGAGAAAAAAAACCTGAAAGATTGCTGAGAGAAAACCTAAGTAAATGGAGGGATGTAACATGTTCACATATAAGAAGTCTCCAGCCAGATGTGGTGGCGCACGCCTGTAATCCCAGCTCTCAGGAGGCTGAGGCAGGAGGATCATTGCAAGTTGAAGGCCAGCCTTGGCTACAAAGTGAGCTCAAGGCCAGCTTGAACTGCATAGCAAGACCCTGTCTCAAAAAAGACAAAAAAAAAAAAAAAAGAAGTCTCTATACTACTAATATGATGATGCTCCCGAATTAATGCATAGATTCACTGCAATCCCAATAAATTCTACCCTTCCCCTGTTTAAAGAAATTGACATATAGAGTTCATGTGAAAATGGAAATCCATGTGTGTATCATAGACATGGGCTTTTCAACATGCATGAGTTTCAGAATATTTATGCTAAGTGAAGGGAGACAGACAAAGAGAGCACACACTGTCTACCCTTGTACTGAATTCTATAAAACAAAAGCTGCAGCGACAACAGATCAGCAGCTGCCTGGGAGCAGGGAGGGGAGGGAGACGGAGGTCACCAGTGGGTGAAGCAGGGATCAGTGCTCTCATTATCACAACTGTGGCTAAGTGGCTCATGGGTGCACGTGTACCAAACTGTATACTTTAAATAGGTGAGGTTTGTGCCAACTACACCTCCATGGAGAACATAAGCTGATGTTATTTGGGGTCACTCAAGGAACCCCCAGAAGGGAATTTTGGAGAGCGCTCAGCCCCTAGTAGGCAATCTGGCAGACCTTGTCAGGGCTCCTCCTGTGGAAGCCCCATGGGCTAGGCATGGTGGTCACTTGGCCCTGGACTCACCCCACAGTGCTGTATGTACCTCAAGAGCAGGATGAGATGCTCCTCACCACAGCGTGACAGTGAAACCCTCAAACTGAATCTTCCCCTATGACAACCCCTCATTCCCCATTTGTCTGCCTGGGCTCCCAGTGCCCAAGCTCTGTCCTCTTGCTAAAGCGAACAGGTCCCAAAAGACACAGCTTCTGTGCTAGAAGCAGAAAGTCTGCACCAGCAAGCCCAGTCCCTCCAGCTCCACAGAGGGCCCATAGTCCCCTCACCACAAAAAAGTTCAGCCACCCTCTTAGCTTCCCTGGGCAGCTTCCACCAGGACCTCACCCTAATAGAGGTACAGGGTTGTGCAAGGGCAATGGCCCATGCTGTGAGGTGGACCATTGTCCCAATCTGGTCCTCCACTGTCCAGCTGAATGGTCAGGGGTATCCGTGGGCCCTGGACCTCAGTTCCCTCCACTGTAAAGCAGATGCACGACATCTGCTAGCTGTGGCTTTGGTGAGCTGAGCCACGCAAAATGCTTGGAATGGTGTCTTGTATCAGTAGGTCATAAAATGTGTCAGTTGCCACAGCCGATCGGGTTGGCAGTCCCCACAGGGCTCAGTGCTCTAAGAAGCCATGCTTCAGCCTGGCCACCGATGGCTGCAGTGCCCCCAAGGACTCCTCAGAGTTCCCAGGCAACAGCAAGCCCAGAACCTGGGATGTTCAAGACAATCTTGTGGCTCAAAGAAGGTGGACAGGTATACCCAGGTCCTGGGCTCCTCCTGGCCATGCTGCTGCTAATCTGAGCTGGTGCTCAGATCCTGGGGTCTGATGGAGAGTTTAGACCACCTGCCCTCCTAACAGACCAGCCCAGCTCTCGTCTGCTCCACACACTGGGCTTCTACAGAATATTTCAGTTCTCAATTTTTTTTTGAGACAGGGTCTCACTATGTAGTTCAGGCTGTCCTCAAACTCACTATATAGCCCAGGCTAGCCTCAGTCATTGTGGTCCTCCTGCCTCAGCCTCCTGTGTGCTGGCATGTAATTCCAGACATGTGCCACCATACATGGTTTAAACAGGACTGGCTCTTATAGGATAGGCACTCTGTCCCTAATAAAGCAAAATATGATCAAATAATGGAACATGCTTCGGGCAGGTGGGCAGTCCAGGGAGATGTCTTCTTTAGATCTTCATAGACTTCATTTATTTTTATTTTTTTGGTTTGGTTTTTTTTTCTGGTACCAGGAATTGAACTCACAACCTTGCGCTTGCCAGGCAGGCGCTATGCCGCTGAGCTAAATCCCCAGCCCCCTTCATAGACTTCAAAGATGGTGATTCCAGAGGCCCCAGTGTTATCCAGACCAAAAAAAAAAAAAAAAAAACAAAAAAGAATGGATGAAAAAAAGTATGGTCCATCCACACAATGGAACGTCAGTCAGTCATAACAAACAAAGCTCTGACACATGCAACAAGGATGAACCTTGAAAACAATGCACTAAGTGAAAGAAGCCAGATACCAAAGGTCACAGCACAACCTTTGCACTGCACCAGGGGCTCCCTGCCAGGAATACCATCCCTGCCCACCATGTCACTCCCAGTACACAAGGCTGTTCCCAGCTTCCCCTCTCCCCACTGCCTCCAAACTCAGGTCAGCAGACATTCCCCTAACACCCCGCCTCCTGCCCGATGTCACTTTCACATCTGCATTCAAAAATACAGTGGCCAAGCTTCCTGCTCCTGGGGCCCAGCAGTCTGTCCCACTGTGGGTCCAGTGGCCAGCACAGGGTATCAAGAACCAGTTACCAGCTAAGCAGGGATGTCCTCACCCAGGCACGTACCTGCTGGATGAAGCCGCAGCACGTCACGGTGTGGAAGCCGAACTTAGTCACATACTGGGGTACAACACCCTCCGCTCGGCAGCCTGTCAAAGAGGTGTTGCCCTGAGCACTGCTCACGTCCTCTGGAATGCCAGACTTCACAGAGCACCAGTGTGGGTCCAGGCAGCTCAAGAACACAGCCTCCTGAGCTACCCATGGTTGTGATGAGCGGGAATACGGGCCTGCCCAGACACTGCCTAGAGCAGGTAGCCCACAGGGCAGGGTGTGAAGCTTCCAATCCCACTGGCTCATCAGATCTATCCAAACTCTTACTTAATGGGGCCTGGGGATTTAGCTCAGTGGTGCAAGGTCATGAGTTTGATTCCCGGTACCAGAAAACAAACAAACAAAAAGAACTCTTACTTAAAAATCTCATTTCCATAATATGGTGTAGAGGGATATGGTGTGAAACTCAACCTAGGGTTGAAATGCTACCAAGAAGTGTGAGGGCTCAGGTCAGGGGAGCCACAGGGTCAGGGCTGGGGACAGGACAATCTGAACGCACCCACAGTGTTCTCCTCCTCCTTCTGCTTCTCTCTGAGCTTCTGGTTGTAAAGGTGCAAATCAGCCATCTGCTCCCCGAGCTTTGATGCCTGGCTGAGGATAGAAGAAATGCAGCCAATTAAAGCTACAAACAAATCATCAGCACCTAGGTGTTCCATTTTAAAGACCTTCAAAGCTATTCTCCATTCTTTGAAAAGTAGAAAATGAATGCCCGGACCAGGACCCTTTCCAAAGAACAAGGTGGTGAAGTCAGGCAAGGAGCCAGGAGGAGGTCTTCTGCAGAGAGTTTGGTAGGCACCAGGCACTGGGCCCAGAGCCTGGCAGGGAAGAGTGGAGGGAAAAGCAGCTCCCCACACTGCAGACAAATGCAAACTGTGAGCAGGAAACAAGACAACATTTCAGGGACTACTCTTTGCGGATGAACTGCAGGAGCTGGTTGTTTTCTTTACACATGTTCATACTTCCTGCATTTTATATAACTATGTATGACTTTAAGGTTTAGAAACCCAAGACTCCAAACAGTTAAGAGATCAGCTTCATTCAGCCCAAACTGAGCTGGCATTTACTGCCTGGTAAAGCACAAAGCAAAGGGTGGATGCAGACACACTCATTCTGTGCAGCTTCACAACAGCCAAACCAAAGCAGCAACCTTTTAAGAATGGTCTGGGACCTGGGGATTTAGCTCAGCGGCACAACTGCCTCTCTGGCAAGTGCAAGGTCCTGAGTTAGATTCCTGGTACAAAAAAACCCAGGGGGCACACACCTATAATCCCAGCTACTCAGGAGGCTAAGGCAGGAGGGTCACAAGTTCAAGCTCAGTATGGGCACCTTAGACCCTGTCTCAAAATAGAAATAAAAAAGGACTAAGAGTGTAGCTCAGTGTGAAGGTCAATGGTGGTAAACTTATGGCCCACATGCCAGAGTGGGCATGCAGAGCCCTCTCTATCAGCACACAAGCCAAGTCACCCCAGCACTGCCCCCCAGCAGTCGAGCATCAGCATTGCAGTGCTGGCATTTTGCAATAAATAAGTTGTTTGGGTTGCAGTTGGGGCACTCAGTCTCTAAAAGGTTCATCATCGCTGCAGTAGGTTTAATCCCTAGTCCTAAAACAAAAAGAAACAAAGAAAAGAAAAGGGAAGTGTGGCTTCTGGGAACAGGCCATTACATGGGCAGCTCAGCAAGGGCTGCTTTCCATGTCTCCGTGTCCCTTTCTACCTCTGTCTCTTTCCCTAGACTATCTCCCTCTGTGTGTGTGTGTATACACATGTGTGTGCCCCTTCCTGCACACATCCCTCTAGATCTGTGTGTCTCTATGTGGGACATGCACATGCTTCCTGTGGATGTGCGTCTCTCCACGTGTGTACACACATGTGCCCCTCACTCCCTCACACTCACCTGCTCAAACTCTTCATCTTCAAATGCTCCATCACGAAGGCGGCCCCGCCTCCCGGCAGATCAATCACTTTTATGGGCCGAGGCACACGCAGCAGGCCTGTGCTGCGCAGAGCCTCCAAGCTTGCCATCTCCCCCTCAAACATCAGCCGGGCCTGTGTCCAAAACACCCTGTGAGTGGATCTGCTCTGCAAACTCCCACACCAACAGGGGACCCTGCCAGCTAGGCCAAGGCATTTGCAGTTCTTAAAAGAAGACATCACATGGGAATCACAGGCCCTGGGAACCTCAAGTACTGAAAGGATGCTGTGCCCTACAGGAAGCCTGTGCTATGGAAGTGATACCGCGGCCACAGGGTACTAGGTGGAGCTAACCACCCCTGGGGTGCCCACCATCCCCACTGACCCCTAGTTGGGTAGACAGGGCATGGTAGAAGTGATGGGGCACAAGTTAGGGTTAGGGAAGGCTGGGCTGAGATGTCTACTAGGCCAGGCCAGAAAGCTGGAAAGGAGAAATACACCCTTATCCCTCCAAAGCTTCCACTAGGATCCAGGGCCTTCCTGAGATAGAAGAGAAGGGCCTGACACTCCACAAGGGGGATTTTTTATTTTTTCTTTCTTCCAAGGCTGCCCCTAACATCTCACAGCCCGCCCAGTACATTAGAGGCTGCACAGCTGCTCCCGGAGGCATTTGCTTTGGCTGCAGCAGGGTTTGGCCACAGGTCCATCCTAGATGTCACTACCCTGCAGCGTCTCTGGATAACTCTGTCCATCCTCATTTGGGTCCCTGAAGAGTCCTTCCCCTACCACAACTAAACAGAAAGCCTGATCCTCCAAGCCTGTCTTTCTCTTCTCTATAAGCAACCTCTATACGCTGCTCAGGTCAGTTCCAGAAGTCCTAATAAAGGCTCCTCCACATGGCATCTTCTTACCTACTCCTGATTTCCATCTCAAGTAGAGCAGGTTGAATTGTTAACACCAAACACCACTGGCACCAAAAGTGGCCCACAGCAAGGCTGTTAACAGTAATGGCCCCCAGCAGCCAGAAAACAGAGATGCAGAGAATCACCAGGCGCCACCATCTCTGGCTGTGGAAGAGCTCCTAAGGCCTGCTGGCAGAGGCTAGCTCAGGCTGTCAGGAGAGTGAATGACAGAGAGCCACTAACACCATGAGCTGACGGCCACTGGCATCCACAGCTTAGGGCTATTTTAATACCAAAAGAGCTATACTTTGGCTAATCAGGATTTCTACCCAAACTGAGCAAATGAACTTCCCGCCAAATGGTAAGTAACATGAACACTATTTTTCTGGACATTGGCACAAATATCCCAATTTTATATTAGGTGAACTCTCACCTATGAACATGATGGTTTGGTGAAAGATATTCATTTACTAATGTGGTTTGTGAAGACTCCTATGCATAGAATTGCAAGTTTAAAACAAATTAAACCTCGTGGATGAGACCAGAACATCTATTACCACACAGAAAAAGAATTCCACTCATTAATTTAAAGTAACCAAGGGGAAAACCAGACACATCATCCTCAACCTGCCAACCTGCATCTGGAGTTGTGAGGCAATGCCAAGCATCCTTGGGGTGGGAGGGCAACCCTGAGCTCCAGTTAGGCTCTCAGAATGAACCCCCAAACTATGGGAGCAGACAACCCTCAAAATTCAGACTGCTGGGCCAGGGGTGGTGGCGCATGCCTGTAATCCCAGCACTCAGGAGGCTGAGGCAGGAGGATCATTGCTAGTTCCAGGCCAGCCTAGGCTACAAAGTGAGCTCACGGCCAGCCTGAACTGCATAATAAGACCCTGTTTCAAAAAAAAAAAAAAAAAAAAGATTCAGACTGCTGCCAGGCCTGCTGGTGCAGGCCTATAATCCCAGCACTCAGGAGGCTGGGGTGGAGGACTGCTGTGAGTTTGAGGCCAGCCTGAGCTACATAGCAAGACCTTGTTTCAAAAAAAGATTCAGACTGCTTACATCACAAGGACCTTGACCGCCATCTGCTCCCATATCTAGGCACCAAGTGTATGTGGGCACGGGGAGTTTCTAGGTGGAACGGCCACCTGGGACTCATCACTTTGCTGGATTCTAGTCAGAAATCAGGTGCCTCAGCAGTTCCTTGGGCAGAAGTGCCAGGATCTCAGGTCAGGGTGGGCCCAACCCTACTGCACCATGACCCATCCCCAAAGGCAGGGCTGCCAGGACCCTGGGGGCTACCACTTTGGGCTTTTCTCCTCCCCCAAGGCCAGCAACGCCCCCCAACACTGCCAGAGGACTGCCAACCTGGACCAGGCCCTCTGACTGCAGTCGCTGGGCGTGGCTTGCCCTCGTAGATTCTGGGTCAGCAGCTGGCTTGCTCTCTGACCTAAGGCGGGCTTCCTTCATTTGCGTCCATGCTTTCCACACAGCCTTAAACAGGAACTCGGAAAGCAGGCCCAGGAATCCGGGGGAGGAGTAAGCACCTGTGAGGAGTCAGCTGACAGAGGTGCACTCCTGTCTCCCGGTTGCTGCTGAAGGTGACACCTCCAGAGGACTGCAGCCTGGTGCTGACCCCAGCAAAGGGCCAAAGCAGCCCAGGGCCTCGCCTCCACCCACGCGCAAACATTAAAACAGCCCACTAGCGTGGGAGTGCACGCTGCAACCCCAGCACTCGGGGAGTCTGAGGCAGGAAGATAAAAGTCTGAGCCCCCCGCCCTCC